CCCACACACACACACACACTTAAAGAGTAAAATTGGGCTGGGTACGCATGAGCCAAGTGAGGAAACACTATAACAGGGAGCCGTCTGCACCGGGAGCCGGTCACAGACCGCAGCCTCCGGGCTGGGCACACAGCAGGAGGGAGGCAAAGAAGCCCCCCAGCCAGGCTGAGAGGACCCCCAGAGCCCCAGCAGCCACGGTCGATCACAGCCCCGGTGCAGAGAGCGCCCTCCAAGGAAACACTGGAGATATGACACAATAGGATATGTACAGGGTAAAACGATAAAATAAATAAGAACGGGATACAATATAAATATAAATAGAGTAAGAAGATTAAAAAATTAATAAGAATAAAATCACTAAATATTAGGTAAAGCCTAAATTAATAATAGAATAACCGGATAGAATAAACAAGCATAAAATAAATAAACGTTAAGTAAAAGCTAAATTAAAAAGGTGGGTCTTGAGTCTGTTCTTAAAAACATGTACGTTCTCTGCGGCCCTGAGCTCCTCCGGCAGGCTGTTCCACAGACGAGGACCATACCACTGAAAAGCTGCCTCTCCGTGAGTATGTGTCCTGACTTTAGGGACAATCAAAAGGCCAGTACCAGAGGACCTCAGGGTCCGCGAGGGTTCATATGGTAAAAGCAGATCTGAGAGATAAGAAGGCCCGAGACCATTAAGACATTTAAAAACCAATAAAAGAACTTTAAAATCGATCCTGAAACACACGGGGAGCCAATGCAGCGATTCTAAAACCGGTGTAAAATGTAAAGCCTGAACTCTCTTAGGTAAGCCGGTTTGTAATTTCTTTAAGTCGTCTTCGGGACTAGTTCTCCAGGCTTCTACAAAGCTATTCTTTGCATTTTGGCTGCCTTTTGTTCTGTTCTCTGTCAAGGTGATCCCACATTGCTTCAGTGTTGATGTCCAGGCTGTGAGGAGGCCAGTCCATGACTGATAGTGTTCCATTGTGTGTTTGTCTGACTAGGTATGCTATTACTGTATTGGCAGTCTGTTTGGGATCCTTGTCATGCTTAAAAAAAATAAACCCGCTACCAATCAGATGCTTTCCAGATGTTATTGCATGGCAGGAGAAAATATGATGGTACTTTTCTGTGTTTATAATCCCATAAACTTTGATGAGATCTCAGCACCGCTAGCTGAAATTCAGGCACAAACCATTACAGAGCCTCAACCGATGGTGGTAGACTCACACTATTATACTCCCTCCTTGCTAGATTTTTGCCTTTTTTTTATTATGGGACTTTTAGATACTGTATATTTACTCTAGATCATTTTTTAGGCCTCTTACTTCTTCTTTATCCACCACTTAGTCAGTTTCCAAAAGTGTTTTAACCTCCTAAGACCCGAACTCTTCCACAGCATGCATTTTAAATTTTTCTTTGATATTTGGGCTGATTGGGGCCCGACGAGTGTAAAAACAAAGAATTACCAGATTTTTTTTTAACCTGATTTTTGTTTCTAAGAAAAATGAAAGCCACATATGAGGATATTCATTAAAATTTTGATAGAATAGTAGCAGTATAATGTCCTCGTAAGTGGATATCAGGCCCTTGTAGAGCAAAATTGAGTATTTTGGTCTAAATAACCCAAAATGTGATGTCCACATATGTGGACACCAGGTCCTAGGAGGTTAAGGACATACCGCATGCTATACTGAGATGCCACATTTTTTTCTAATAGTTCTTTGGGAATCAACATTTTTGTGCAAAAATACTGTGTTATCTTTGGCATTTTTCCGAGATTCAACTGAAGAAACTGGAGCATATTATGTGTTTATTATGTGCTTTTGTGGCAGGCTGCTAGGAAACAAAAACAAATCCTAAAATTAAGTTCAAACACATTTCTCTAAAAATGCACACGTACAAGGACCACACTAAAAATAAATGAAAAAGCTGCCAATGTCTGAAGAAAAAGTCCTTCAGAAGAACTATTGCTCAAGGCCTCCTAAAAATGAGAAGGAAAGTCCAGCACCTAGGAAGCAAAATATAAAGAAATTAGGTCTGACTGAAGATTTTTGCACAGTTCTGCATGCGATACACCAACGTGTACATGTAAGATAAATCAATTTTATCACATTTAGGACAGTCATTTAATTTCCCAGCCAAGTGTGGATTTACCATGTGCAGTGCATTTGAAGTGCATAGCATGATGGTATTATTTTTACTGGGGCTTTTTAACTCAAATAGCTCCATTAAAAACTCAGCTTACAAATATCCTCCCTTAGATGTGATGCATCGATTGGAATCACCCAGTAGGAATGGTAGAAATGTCAAAATGCAAGCGACAGATGATTAATAGATATAATATGATAAAATAATAGACTTATTATTTTAAATTGAATAAAGATCAACACACACAATAACCAGTAGCTGCAGATTAAATGAGAAACTATCTGCAGCTTGTCTCCAGAACCTAACAATGTGCCAAGAAGTGCCTGAGCCGAAATACACCACTGTAATGGAATTATATTTGTAATCATAACCAGTTTCTCAAGGTGGAAAGCCAAACAAACTGCTGACGTCTCAGCTTCAACTGGGCACTGACTCATCCCTGGCAGACAGCGTTTGGTCCTGGTTACCTCAGCCAGTCTCGTAGCTCCTCCGCATGTTTTGATTCAAACGACTTGCAAGATAAGTAATAACACTGCTGGCTGGAGGGCCCTGACGTATGAGATGGCTGTGATACCATAAACCCAAACATAGACACGGGATGGATGTTTAGCCTGGCTGACCTGGCAGTCGCATACTTGCCCAAATGCTCACACAAGCGTTCACACACACCAACAGATTGCTGAACTACTATTCCTCTGGGCAACTTTGTAAATATTGTTTTTTCTCTGCTCTGTTATTTATAATGAAACACAATGAGCAAATAGTGATCTGATGATTCACGCTGTCTTTTTTCGTTAAGTACAATTTTGCCATGCCGGTCATTGTGTCAGCTATTGTGTAAAATTTTGTTTGTTATTTTATCAAACAAGTACATTTTTCCACCTGGTTATCAATATGATAAAATAGATTAAGCAGATTTTGTAAAAGCTTACAGTTAATTTAACACAGATAGACGTACTCCCTTTTTTTCTTTTGCAGTCAGTGCTCGAGTTGTAAATAAATAAATAAAGTTCCACATAAAAACAGAACTTGGATGTTGCCCTTCAGCATTTAGTGTAATTGACACTGGCACAAACAGTCTTTCTAACAGTCAGCTGTACTGAGGAAAACTGCAAAGCACGCCTCAAGGAAATAGCTCACATTAAAGTGAGAAATCACAGGTGATATTTCAGAGCGAGCAAGCTCAATGACTCCTCCCAAAGAGCCTTAAGGGTGTATGAAGCTGTACAACTCCTTCAAACTTGTCCACAGTAGAGCGCTTATTTTGGATTGCGGGTATAAAGGCAGGTTTCCAAACCAAGCTGTGATACCCACCGTGTCTAATAATGCTTTCTAGTACAACAGGATAAAAAAAGGCAATGTGTACTTCCTCCAACTCCAAAACTCTTTATCTACGTAAGAAGTTTATTTGTGCTATAGCCTAGAGCAGACCGTGTTAACTTGGACGATGCAGTTTGGTGGTTTTTCAGTTCACACTCCCACGACACATACGGGAGGGGACATATAGAAGTATTTTCAATGAGAATAAAACAGTAAATCCATTCTCTGATCGATTTGTGTTGTGTTTTTACGAACCGTGCTCACCTTACAGAAGCCACCACTTCTTATTTGGTCAAGCTTAAAGCTCACGTTGCAAGTTCTGATTTGCACAGTGTGAAAAAAGATACTTTTATTGTGGGTATTCACAGTCGTTTGCAGCATGCTCACTTTAATGTTCTCCAGCTGCATAAAAGGATGTGCTGTGAGAGCAGATCTGTTGCTCAGGTAGCATGATGAGTTGACTGGAATCATCATCAGTACAAACCTACTGTTCAACATGGTGAGATAATTACTTATTTACTTAGAAAGAAACACTGCATCTTTTATATATTATCTGTGGGTATAAGCCAGCATCTCTGGCTTAAAATATCTGTAAATAACTCACAACGGAGGCACCAGGTTTTCCATCTCTTATTAAGCTAATGGAAAAACAAATCTGAATTAGAAATAATAATTCATACATCACTGTTTTTCCTTATATGATTGTAAAATATACTTATTAATATTTTATTAATAATTTTCTATCAGAAATCAAGTATGAACCTCCTTAAACCAGAGATTTTTTACAAGCTTGGTCCTTTTTATGTTATTAAATAACTGATAGTTTTGGTCCAAACCTTGGACATCTGTACCCGTTTTGCCATACTAAATGCATTAGCATTTGAGACTATGCCATTAAATTCACATATATCAATTTCACCTTTCACCTCCTTTTTTTCTTTTTCTAAATGTGTGATTATTCCATGTCATGCCTTAAACAACAAGTATGCACAACTTTGTCCCTTATACCAGTTAGTGAAGTTTTGCATGGATTCCGAACACTGAGTGTTATCCATTCATCACCCGTTTCATTGACAAGACTTCCATTACTTTGTTTCCCTGCATTTCCCCCATCCCCATCTCCTCAATCTAATGGCTTCCGCAGAATGTCTTAATGTATCAGCCAATAAGGCTGCCAGTGTGCAGCAACACACAACCTCCGGTCATTATTGTCACGACCTGATTGTCTATTTATTGCATTTACCAGCAGAGCTGTACTTAAGCATTTTTTAACAAAAATAATTACTTTCAGCAGTTAAGTAAGAGCAGTTAAAGCAAATGGTTTCTGCAGGTGGCAAGGCATAGTGACAAAAAACTGATGAACCAACTGAGACTTGACCCAACTAAAAGCAGAGCAACATCCCAGGAATGAAACATTGCCAGAGAACTAAATAATCAGAGTAGCAGTAGAGTAGATTATGAAAGGGATACGTTCAAAGTATTGAGAAAAATGTAATTTCATTTTAAAAAATCAGTGTGCGATATTTAAAAAAAAGATGTTCACTTACTTGCAGAGGGTGTTTCGGCATGAACAGGTGGTGTAGAAGGGATGAAAGAGGGGAAGAAGAAGGATCGCAGAGATCGTTCAGTGTGGAGGGGTGAGCGCTGTGTGGGCAGGTTCTCACAGCTGCCCACACTGCTGTGGATCTTAAGGTTCAAGGGCTTGGTCTTCTTCTTGGCTCTGGTGGACAACAGACAAGAGAAAAATATAAAATTGAGACATTAGAGGTGAGTGCAGCAAAACTAAACAAGAAACCAACATGTTCAAATGATATTTACTATAATTAAACAGTCTGGACTATTTGTTTTTGCAAAAACGCACAACTTCAAAGCTGGACAGGAAGGCTGCACAGTTTTTGGGGTATAGCTATTCCTGTAGTCACAACCAAGGTACAAACACTGCAGCCACCATCATATAGAAGAGAAAACAGAATTCTACACCAGAATAGTTCACATATGGAGAACATAATACAGTTTAGTGGCAAGAAATGTTGCATATTAAGTAAGGGAAATGAAAATGTACCTATCAGTCACCATCATTATTATTATCACACCTATATATAATGTACACCCTACACCTGAACGTAACAAGAATGCAGGTGGACAAGTACAAATAAGGCATATATATTAGTTTACGTTGCATATTGTGTATTATGCATTAGAGTAATATCAATAATGTACTTATAACACCGAACAACAAACACTTAGAACTTCACTGTATGTTCATTGTACTCCAGAATTTGGAGAATATTTTTTCTCCGCATCACAAATCTGCTAACTTAACAGAACTCAGTGCAAAGTACCAAATATATGTATTTTCTGCACAATCACATAAACAAACAAAGAGGTGCGACAACATCTTGAGACACAGCAAGTATGGTGTACCGAAATACCAGATCAGCATCATTAAGGGCTCTAGTATTAATGATAAAGTCAGGAAATCTGGGAGTCATTTTCATAGCATGATAGCACAGCCATCGCTGTCATGCTAGAAGAAAACACACTGCTGTCGGGGTCAGAAAAGCAAGTAGGATCGAGGAACAGAAGATTAAACAAGACACTAATAAGAAAAAGAAAAACAGCTTTTTTTACTGCGATTTTATTCCAAAGTTTGGCTCCGACTCAACCATTTGTGGATGTTGGAAAACCCTATGGTACTGCTTTTTAAAGTTGCACACCTCCATATGGACACTTGCCACGTAAGTATGTAAGTGTGTTCAAACTGATGTGAAGTATCTTCATGCAATGCAAAGTTACCATCTTGGCTATAGCAGAAGGGGTGGGAAGAACCGATAAATATAGGTTACAGACAGAAACCTGTAAGGTGCTTGAAAGACATCCTTTTTTTAAATTGACTAGTATTGAGTATCAAGTCAAAGTGAAAATCACCAAAATTTTCCCATGATCACTTCTGTTTGCCAGCCTGCTTCCACTGTGGAGGCTTGTCATTTCAGAGCTGAGGTCAGAATAATTAAGCTTGTAGAGCAATTTGTCTTTGTCAGCTGTCATTGTGATTTTTTTCTAACAAAACTTTTGTGTATTTCAATAAGGTATTCCTTGTAAGTACACAATTCCCTGAAATATGAAAGACAGACAGCTGTGAACTGAGTAAACTAAGAGACAAGCTACACAGTTTGGGCTAATTACAAGAAAAGTGTGTAATTTAACTAAAAATATCTCAAGTGACTTGCAGAACAGACTGTTCTAGCTACTGGTATATCTGGGTTCTAAAGTGGAGCCACTGGAAAGTCTGGAGCCATTGCTCATATTAAAGCATGGTTCACGGTTAACCTGCACTAGAACTTCAAACGATCACATTAGCCTCTTATCTAATGTACTCAGTCAGGCTGATAAAATGAACCATTATTCCTACAGGATCCTAAATACACTAACTTATGTTATTATTGCAGCTCAGGAGAACACGAGGTGACTTTGTGGGGATAATTGGAAATAAAAGTCGTCCTTCATTAGAGAAAATAATCCACAGACTGTTAATTACTTCCCTGTAAATTAGAAATGCAAACATTCGCTATGATAGACGTTATCGGCCATATTTTCTCATTTTAATTTCTCTACTTTTTTTGATGTGAGGCTAAATTTACTCAGGCTATGGAAAAGATTTTGCCCGTTTTGCAAGAATATACTGTACTGTGCAAATGCCTTTACATTTTTGTTCAGTGAGCCAGGAATTCTTGTACTTTCTCCAAATGGTATTGAGCAATAGTTGTCCAGGCTTTGTGAAAGTCTTTCATAGTTTTTCTTTGGGCACTGGCTACTTTTTCCACCCAAACTCTTAGACAAGTCTGTTTACCTGACCATTTTTAGAGAAACGTGTTTGGAGTTTATTTAGTTTGCTTGTTTGTCAATGCTGACCTATGAATCATTCATGTGTCATAACAGAACAGACAACTTAACAGAAAACCAATTTTATATCGTATATTTGTCACAGAAATAGCAGAAATTTGACCCGAAGATAAACTCAAAATACACATTTTAATGATGGTAGAAAAGTCTTTTTAAAAGTACAAAGTGCATGAAGCAAAACAACAAAGAAAATCCAACTCCAAATGGCAGGCAGTCACAAGGGAAGCATTCAGACAAAGACCAAAAGACTAGAGCAAGCCTATAAACACACACTTGAACAGACTGAGGGCTAATCGGAGGAATGAGACACAGCAGGGGAAATGAAGCACAGGTGAAACTAATTAAGCCAATGACAGGGAATAAAATTAAATGCAAGACCCAGAAGATACACGATTACCAAAACAATACAGGAAAATAATAACTGGAAGACTGGACACAGGAGAACTTGACACAGTAGGAAAAGGGGGGAGGGGGGGATCCAAAAACCCTGACAAAAGAACCGAGAGGTAAATCAGGCCCTTTAAGCTTCTGATCTTTCTGAGTTAGCTTTGATATTTTGATACTTCCAAACCATCAACATGTCTGTTAGACCTCATTCTTAAAAGACTGCTCAAAGAAGTCCTACTATTAATAATTATTTGATCTTAGGTATGATCAAACCATATGTCTTTGAGGTGGTGGTAATTAAACCATTACTTAGAAACCATCACTTGACCCAACTGTCTTAGCCAATTATTGACCAATCATCACATTTTTTTAATTTCTGAAAGAGTATTAGTAAAACAGCTAACAAGTCATCTTCATACGAATGTTTTATTTCCATCATCACATCATAGAAACAGTAAATATAAAGCAAAATGAAGAATTTTGCACAGCACTGTAATGTACTTTCAATATTTGGGATTACTATACAGCAGCTTTAGAATTTCTTGGTCTACTTTATTTGTTTAGTCCTGTTATATAAAAAAGTCATTATACTACATATTCCATTTACCTTAATATAACAGCTGCCTTTAGGCAACTGTTGTGATTCCATGCTATATACATGAAACTGAACTTAATTTAAGTGAACTGAAATTCAAATGTTTGTTACTGAATTAGTCAAATTTCTTCATAGTTCATCTCATATTATGAAAGAACGAGAACTTTTCACTTTCATATGAACAACCTCATTGGTGTACAGTAAAGCAAGCCATATGTTAATGCCAGGTACCTACTAACATAAGAAGGCAGAGTAACACCCCCACCCCCTGGTACCCCACTGTGCCCCCTCCAAAAGGAGTGCACAATGTCCCCTCGTTGCTAATTTTGGAGTAATAATTACTGCTCCAGTTTCAATTACTCTTTTTCCTGTTTTTTCCCCCCAATCTGTCATTTAAATATTGTCTAGTAGACATTCTTATATTTGTAGGTGGATCAAAAAAAAAAATAGCAGAAAATTAGAAAAAGACAAAAATGATTCTGAAAATGCCAACACTGGCATGTAGGTGTGATTGGGAAACCACTCTTATTATAATTAAAGCCAGCAGAAGCAGAGACATCTTTGGTGCTACTATTCTTTTAAGTACTGAGTCTAACTAGTGAGAGTTTTTTCATACTTTTAATAAGCACCATTAAAAGAATGCCATATTAGCTATTAGCAGGTCCTGACTGCAAAGTACCCACTGCTGTACAAACAACAATCCCTGGATTACTTTAACAATGTGACAAGTGCCAGGCAGGTTCAACAAAGACTTTTTTTCCCTAAAATTTTTAAGCCGATTTATCGGTCACAATGAAGTTTGGAGATAATGATATCCAAAGGAAGAGTAAATAACACCAAATGGCATGAATATGAGATTTATGTTTGTGTGTCAGGGCTTAAGAACTGCATCGGCAGTGGGTTAAAGACTGCACCAGTCCTTCTCTATGTAGATGTAATTTACTTTAATTTGCTGCCAATACTCTTAAGCCCCTTGATGCTATGTACCACAGTTCTCTTCAATGTATCACTGAGGACAGTTTCAGCACCCTTCATTGTATTCTCCATGCAACAAGAACTGTCTTTTTTTAATTTACTAGGCTATTTTAAATAAACTGTCATGTTATTCATCATCCACCCTGTATGGGTTGCAGAATATACAAAAATGCATTATCTTTAATGGCCAATTTATTACAAAAAAAAAAAACAAGGGAAACTGCAGTCTGCTGTTATGCATCTCATAGGATGAAGTGTTAGTTTAAAAACGTATTACTCCAGGGCAATTTCAGCTTCTGTTGGTTGATGTTTTATATAATAAATGTCCCTGCTTTTTGTAACTGTTTTTACTCTAGTATCCATCCATTCATTCATCCAAAGAACAAGGGAAATATGTGATTCTTTATATCCTCAAGTAATGTTAATCCTGTTTTAGAACTGCAGAACTTGAGCTGACGTAAATGAAACAGTCATGTAAAAATAAACAACTAATCTCCATCCATATAAATCCCTGCAGAAACATAAATAACCACACTGTAACCGGACATATCCTCAGGAATTTTACTTTAGCGACATTGGATTCATAATTGTAAAAATTTGATGTAAGACTGAAATTTAGGATTTTAAGTGACACCGAGACTGAAATTGCAGACTGATGAGCAAACGTAACCAACAAAAACAAAACAAAAGAGTTGCACTTGCACATAGAAGACAATGAATTTTAAGTGTCCAAACAAACACAGACCACAAGGACACAGGTGAGAAAAGGAGACATGAGGAGAGTCTATCTGTGAAAAACTGACTTGTAAAAGTAGTAAAATGAATGCTGAGTTCTGACTTATCATGGAAAGTGTTAAATC